CCCAGAGCTACTCCCTGTACGACGAGGACGGCAGAGGGGACACGCATCAGGGAGGCCCAACACGGTGGCCAAGACTTGACCGCACAGCCTGGGACTGCAAGGCCAACCCATCCCCCCGGGGCTGAGCTTCCCACCCCCCCAGCAGCACACAGGAGTGTATTCCCACTGGAAACCTGCAAGGACCTCAGACCATTTGGCAATTAATATGTGCAATAAGCTGCTGCTTGAGCCCCCTGACCCAGTGGGCTAGCAGTCAGTGCCCCCTGCGAGCCAGGCGGACCCAGTCCTGGATGGGGCAGCCAAAGTGGCACGGCCACCACCCCAGCATCTTCACCAGGGACAGGGACACCCCCCACCCCTGCGCTGCACACCCTGGATGTTGTTCTACATCCCACTCGTCCAGCGGCAAACAGGACCTGTTTTAGCAATAAAAAGCAACGCGCTCTGGTGCCCGATGCCCTCGGTGCTGACAGCTGAGCAGACCAAGAAACGCACTGTTCGGCCTTCGCCTGGAGAAAATCATTCTTCCCCAAGCCGACGCAGGTAAGAGGAAGGAGGAAGGTTTGGGAGGAAGCAGGCAGCAGCAGAGCTGTCACTGCATGAGGTGCAGTCCCGGCGCGGGCTGCGAGGGGACCAGCGCGGCACGCAGCCCGTCACCATCACTCCCCCACCCAGCACGAAGGGGGCCATCCTCTGCTGCTGCAAACCTGCACGGAGGTGCAAAGGGTGGTGGTTACCGATCACAACAGCCTGTCCACAAGCACGCTGCTGTCTGCCCAACTTCCTTCCCCAGAACCCCGCGAGGGGCTCGCTTGCAGATGTGAGAAAATGAAGACACACAAACCGAACACCAGTCCACCACCAGCTCCGCTGCTGGAGAGAAGGTCAGTCAGGAACCTGGCTGAGCGCACGCATTTTTATCTCGCCTACGGGGATGCAACATGTGCTGCAAGGACAAACGCCCTCATTGTTCCGACACAGCATCGCTGCCGTCCATCTCTCGGAAGCTGC